TAGGGGAGCCTTCTTATCCAGCCCCTGACTTGGGGAAGTGCCCCAAGTGCTTGTACTGGGTCTAGCACCCATTGGGCGATCAGGCCTGTGTTTTCCAAGGTGCGCAGAGCCAGAAGTGAGTCCAGAGCCTTGGATGGTGGCAGCGGGAACCCTAGGCTAGCGGGTGTGCTCCAGGGAAGGGGTCGGCCGGACGGGAGGCACCCCAGGGAGGCACTCGGAGCCTGGGAGGTGGGCGGCGCAGGGAGGTGGGCGGCTCAACGCAGGAGCGCCCCCTACTGGCCCGCCACAATGCCACCATCTGTGTCTCTCTCCAGAAACCGGTCCCGGTCAGCTTGGGACACTGGGGTTGAGTTCCTAAGGGAGGGGGGATTTTCCTCCCTGCCTACGTGACAAAAGCCTGGTGCTGAGGGTGCGGTCACTCTGGTCACCTGAGTGGGGGAGGGAAAAGCCCCTGCTCCTCTGCCCAGGTCACCAGTGATGCTTTTTAAATTGGTTGGCTAATTGCCAACACTGCTGGCTTCTATTGGACTGGGCTGCTGAGGTCAGAAAGGCGATATAAGGGCCTGGTCCAAGAAGAAGGAGGAGAGAAGCCATTTTTCCAGCATGGCACAAGCATTAGGACACAGGGAGAGTGTGACCCATCTGAAATGCTCTCTCTCTGGAAATCTCCAAGCCAGATCTCTACCATCTTCTGGATGATACTTGTAAGTGTTTCTAGAGAGCTAGTCAGCTCCCAGCGATGCATTTGGCCCCTGACTTGGGGAGGAGCCCAAAGTGCTTGTATTGGGTCGAGTACCCGTAGGACTATTAGGCCTGTGTTTCCCTGAGGACACAGAACCTAGAAGGTCCCCTCTCGGGGTGGTGGTGGCACCTTACCCCCAGACTCTGCGGTGGGGCTCGAAAGGGGGTCTGCCAGGGCTTAGGGGCCCCTGGGGAGACGTGGAGTCCGGCAGGTGGACGGGCGTGGGGAGGAGGGAGGCTCGATGCAGAGCTCCCCCTACTGGCCCGCACAGGGCCTCTGCAGGACACGCTAGGAAATCTGCTCCTCTCACCTTCCGGTAAAGCTGACATATTCAACAATTTCTTTGCCTCCGTATTTCTGATGAGGGACCCAGATATCTCCCCCACTAGCACCCCCAAGGGCCCTGTGGGTGGCACACCCAGGCCTAGGGTTAATGAGGACCTTGTCAGGAAACTTCTGGAGGGACTAGATGTATTTAAATCCGCAGGTCCTGATATTCTCCACCCCAGAGTGCTGAAGGGACTAGCAGGGGTCATTGTGGGACCTCTGGCGCAGCTCTACGAGCACTCATGGCTCTGAGGCGATGTGCCGGAGGACTGGAAAAGGGCCAATGTGGTCACCATCTTCAAGAAAGGGAGGAAGGAGGCCCCAGGAAACTATAGGCCCATGAGTCTTATCTTGGGCCTGGGGAAGCTTTTTGAAAGAATTATCCTGGCACATGTCCAGGAAGGGCCGGCAGGGAGGTTATGCTCAGGGGCAACCAGCACAGGTTCATTAGGGGCAGGTCTTGTCAAACCAACCTGGTGGCCTTCTATGAGCAGGTCACCAAGTCCTTGGATGCAGGTGTCGCGGTGGATATAGTCTTTCTGGACTTCAGGAAGGCCTTCGACACAGCCTCTCACCCCATTCTCAGTAAGAAACTAGGAGACAGTGGTGTTGATGCCTACATGGTCAGATGGGTCACTAACTGGCTGACGGGTCGCACTCTGAGGGTGGTGGTGGACGGGTCTTATTCAACCTGGAGGGATGTAAGCAGTGGGGTCCCCCAGGGCTCAGTCCTCTGGCCCGCACTATTCAACATCTTCGTCGGTGACTTGGGCGAGGGGGTAGAAAGCACCCTGTTCAAATTTGCAGATGACACTAAGATGTGGGGGGGAGCGGACACGCTAGGAGGGAGGAACAGGCTGCAAGCAGATCTGGACAGGCTACAGGGGTGGGCTGATGAGAACAGGATGGGGTTCAACACTGACAAGTGCACGGTAATGCACCTGGGGAGGAAAACCAGTGGCACACCTAGAGGCTGGGAAACTCCCTTCTCATCAGTGTTGAGACAGAAAAGGATCTTGGAGTCGTTATTGATGCTACAATGAACATGGGCCGACAGTGGGGGGACGCGATCAGGAAGGCCAACCACATCTTGTTGTGCATCCACAGATGCATCTCGAGCAGGTCCAAGGAGGTGACCCTCCCCCTCTATGTGGCACTGGTCAGGCCGCAGCTGGAGTACTGCGTCCAGTTCTGGGCGCCGCACTTCAGGAGGGATGTGGACAACATGGAGAGGGTCCAAGGGAAGGGCCACTTGCATAATCAGGGGGCAGCAGGGCAGGCCCTACAAGGAGAGGCGACGGGACCTGAACCTGTTCAGCCTCCACAAGAGAAGGCTGAGGGAGGATCTAGTGATAGTCTACAAACTAGTCACGGGGGACCAGCAGGCATTGGGGGAGTCCCTGTTCCCCCGAGCACTCCTGGGAGTTACAAGAAACAGCGGACACAAGCTAGCAGAGGGTAGTTTCAGGCTAGACATTAGGAGGAACTATTTCACTGTCAGGGAGGCTAGGACCTGGAACCAACTTCCAAAGAAGTGGTGCTGGCTCCTACCCTGGGGGTCTTTAAAAAAAGTCTGGACGAACATCTGGCCGGGGTCGTTTGACACCAGTACTCTTTCCTGCCATGGCAGGGGGTCGGGCTAGATGATCTCCTCAGGTCCCTTCTGACCCGACCAACTATGAAACTATGAAAGTGCATGAAAACTGCTTTAGAACAGCTTATTGGGGGCTCAGACCAAATGCATACCACATATCAGATAAAAAGAGGAGAGCAGAGCACAGCAAGGTCAGGCAGCTTATGGTAAGGGCTGTGCTGCAGAGGCAGGAAGCAGGAAAAAGGCATCTTTCAGAGAGTGGAAGTCAAACGTAAGGAGAAAAATGAGAAAGGGTAGAAACTCCAGCTGATCAAGTGTCAGACTGTAACAAGACAAGGCCAGAAAGAAGTGGAGGAGAAATGTGCAAGAGACTCAGAAAGCAATAGGAAACATTTCTGGAAGTCCAGGAGAAGCTGGGGATCTTCCAGGGAGTCAGTGGGGCCTGTGGATGGTCAGGGTGCCCGAGGGATGTGAAAGGATGACAGGGCCATTGCTGGGAACCTGAAGGCATCTTCTGCACGGGTCTGCGAGAGACATCAGGGAGATTCACTCCACAGACCCACTCCTCTTCAGGGACAGGTCAGTGGAGCTGACCCCCACCAAGACTTCAGTAGAGGAGGTGACAGAGGAGACTGAAAGACTCATGTCATCTTTCTGCCAGGCACCAGATGGCAGCAGCAAGGGCTGTGTTCACCTGAGGGCTTTACACAAATGGATTATCTTTGTTTGAGCCCCCACCCACAACCTGGGAAAATCATTTCTGCCTGGGTGCTCTAATGGGAACACATTTCCCTTCCCACAAGCATCACCAACCCCAATGGGGTCAGAGCACCATCAGGGCTGATTATAACACACAACAGGAAAGGGGAGGTGTATGTGCGTGTGTGGGGAAAGCTCAACATAAGATGCTCCAGTACAGTCACCCCTGAGCCCTAAGGGAAGTGCTGATCACCACCTTCGGCATACACCCAGTGTGAACAAGTCGTGGCAGGCAAATAGACTCAGGTGTGATGCAGCCCAAGGTGACAGAGCATGCTCATCAGCTAGTACCATGGGTGTGAGCCTTTCACATCCATCAATGGACTCTTAAAATCCTTTACTTAACCCATGGGAGTGATCATCCTTGACTGTGAGGGATCTCAGCTGAAAGAGAGGAAGCTGGGTTGACAGACAGAATAACGAACATCTTAGTAATCAATCCCCACAATCCACTGCTACCAGTTCAGCGCAGTTAATAGGTGCAGAGCTCCTCTTAGTCCTGCAATGGGGGAATGGGGGGGGGGGAGTATAGCCAGCAGAGCTGGGACAATGCTACACCACTTTGCCTCTTCTGGTGACAGAGGGAGCCCCGCTCTCATAGGTGCAGGCTCAGATCTCTCAGGATCTAGCAAACAGGCTTCTGTCTGACCTGCAACTGCCCTATGGACTTCATCCCTTTCACACCCAAGGATAACAGGTTGTGACTGAACCCACTAAAGGGATTTACACCTCACCAACACACATTTCTTTCTGGGTGGATGGTGAGATGCAATACCATCCCCAAGACAACCACAGCCTGACACCTCTCCACCTACTGTGAGGCCTGAGCTGAGGGTCCCTTTCCCTTTGACTCCCAGAGAAGTGATGGTGAGCACCGACCTCTCAGCTTTGCTACTCAACTTTCACTTACAGTCGCAGCCCCCTTCGAGCCTGTATAGTTTTTAAAGGCAGGGCCAGTGCTGCAGACCAAACTTACCCCAGTCTCTGGTGTTCAAAACGTTAAAAGCAGTTAGACAGTTCTCTTGTTAGCAATCCCTCGCAGTCAAGGATGATTGTCTCCCATGTTTGTATTATTTGGGTCTCTGAAGATGGCTGATGAGGCCGATTTGGCATCAACAGACTCTGCTGCAGCTTGGGCATGTTTCCAGGTGGGGTGGGTGGCTCCAGATTCTTGGTTCAGTCTGCGATATGCTGTTTCTGCTGCTCCTGCTTTTCTGTCTCCTGTTTTTGTTGTGAGGTTTCAAAGTACTGAGATTTTTGCCCATTATTACAAGGAAAACAAGCACAAAGGCCCCACAGAGAGGTTGTCATGTGGGTACAGGAGTAGCGGGCTTACACTAAACAGAAGCAATTCATCAGGATCCAGTGTTACTCAGCCCAGGGTCCTGGAGGAGCTCAGACTGGACATTGCTGAACTTCTGAATGCAGTATGCAACCAGCGCTGAAACCACCATGGTACCAGAGGGCTGGAGGGTTGCCAACATCATACTGAAAAATGACATAGGTGTAAAGGGGCCCCTACCTTGGTACTAGAAGGGGAAGGGGATCCTGGGGCACCTGGCCCTTTTCTTCTCCTTCACCCTCTCCCTCCACCTTTCATCCCTTCCCTTTTGTGTGTTTGCCAGTGCCTCCTGTCCCTGGTAGAGGTCGCTTCCCCTGGTTTCCTTGTTCCGTGGTGCTGACTTCCACTTCGTGTCTGTGTCACTTTAAACTTCACCCAGTGCTGATCCCAGAGGCCAACTCACAAGAAGGGGAAACACCTGGAGACTGGACAAACACCTGGTAGGGGTTATCTGACTCTAGCCCACTTTCCTGGCCAGGGGCAGGGGGTCAGATTCAATGATCCACTGAGGTCCCTTTTGACCCTACTGAGTGAATGGAGCATAAAGACTACAGCATGTTCTGTGCCAGAATCAGGCTGACATTGCCCAGACTGTAGGGAAGGAGGTGGCAAGGGAAAAACAGCACAGGGTTGGGAGACTCTTGGCATGCAGGATAGATGGGCCCCATCTTGCTGCACCCCCAAGTCCCACAGAAGGTCCAGAATCCTTTGTTTGTCCCCTGATGCCTGGGGAGTGCGGGAGCTGTGCCCACACGTCTGCTACCTTGGCCTGAAGAGGGGAGAGGGTCACTGTGCATGGCCAGACGGGTGATAGCTCAGGCTTGGAGGTCCAAGTCAGAGATGTCCCTCCTGGCACCTCCAGGTATTAGTGACAACTGACACATTCTGGAGCTGCAGGTCTGTGGTGGGGGAAACAGGAAAGCATTACTGTCTCCACAGAGTCACTGTCCCCGGCTGGGCTGCACAGGGTGCTCAGCCCATCCTGCCTCCCCCTGGGAACAGGTTGCTCATGTGCCATGGGGTTATAGAGCCAAGGGCATCTGCCCTGCTCTGGGGACTGCCTTGCCCTTCAGCTAGTAAGGTCCCTGCTTTTCTCACATGGCCCCCACAAACCACAGCTCTCAGGAGCTGGCATCAGCCAGGGTTCGATGTGTGTGGAGTGGGGGGGGGGGACACACCAAGCTCCTACCTGCAGAGTGCTCCTGCCCTGTGCTGCTTGCTGAGGCCTGGCACCACCTACAAGACGAAATGAGCATCCTGAGCCCAGGCAAGGGGACATGGAGGAAGCCCGTGGCCAACTGCACCTCTGTGCCACACCCTGGGCCCAGAATGGCTCCAGGAAGGGACCAGAGAGGGGGCTTGGCATCTACATGTCCCCACAGGGTCTGTGCTATAGTCACCTGAGCCTAACAAGAGAGGCCCACGGTGTCAGGTAGGAACAGCCCGAGGCCCAGCCCAGCCCAGGTTAAGGGAGTAGGTGCCAGCCTGTAAGAGAGAGCTGAAGGCTCCTGCTTTTTTTAAGGATGAAGCAGCAGCAGAGAGAGCCTCAGGTGGGGAGAACTGTTTATTATGAGCTGCCAGGGGACAGGTACTGGGGAAGTTACCTGATGGTAGCACTTAACGCAGAACTAACTTTGCTTTAACCCATGGCAGAGCACCACAGGTCTGCCAGTGTTGACAGCCCTGCTAGAGGCCTTGATTCAGAGCATAGCATAGCCCCAGGCCTGGGTGGGGAGGGGGGCAGGAGTTTAAAGTCCAAAGACAGGAAGGGAGAAAGAATGAATTAGAACTTGGGAAAGAGCTGGGGAAGGGCCAGAGCCAGTGACAGAGACAAGGGCCAGGGCCTCAAGGAACCACATCTGGCTCAGCAAGTGTATTGCTCGGGCAGGGCAAAGACAAAGGTAGCAAATGGGCAGGGAAACCTCCTTGGCTCAATAGGGAAGTCATGGACCTCCTGCATCTTACAAGAAAAGCTTATAAGGGATGGAAGTCCGGGACTACCACTAAGGAGGATTATGCAGACTGGCTGGCACCTGTAGGGAGTGGACCGAAAAGGCCAAGGCTGAAACCGAACTCAAACTGGCTACAGGAACTAAGGACAATAAAAAGTCCTTAGTCTTCAAATATGTTAGAAGTAAGAAAAAATACAAGGGCAACATTGGACCCTTGCTGAACCAAATGGGGCAGCTGACAACTGGTACCCAGGAAAAAGCTAATCTCCTCAATGATTACTTTGCATCGGCTTTCCACCAGCGCAAGGAGACCACCCTGCCTGACACGATGCAGGACTACCAGGGTAAGGGCGATCATACACTATAGTTAGCAAAGATCTTGGGTAGGGAACAGCTTGAAAGGCTGGACAATCACAAATTCACTGGCCTGGATGGAATGCACCCAAGAGTGCTAAAAGAGCCCACTTCCAAGACACTGCGGAGAAGATCCTTAAACTCATCCAGGCCACTGACCACTATCCCCTGCTCCTTATCCATGTGGGCACCAATGAAATGGCTCGGTATTCTCCCAGCTGGGTCATGAGGCATTACAGGGATTTGTGAGTGGGGTTAAAGGGTCTGGTGGTGCAGGTGGTGTTCTCTTCGATCCTCCCAGTCTTGGGGTATGGGCTGAGGAGGGAGAGGAGGATCCAGGTAGTTAACCAAAGACTGCAGCACTGGTGTCATTGGGAAGGCTCTGGCTTCTATGACCACAGCCCACTCTTTGGCGAGAGAGGCAGTGAGCTGCTGGAAAGAGATGGCCTCCACCTCTCTCTGCTGGGGAGGAGGCTCTTCTCAGCCAGACTTAAACTAAGCCCGCTGGGGGCCAGGGGGGACTACTGCCACTGCTGGCCCACTGAGCAACCTGTGCAAAGCCAGCAGCCCAAGGTGGTTAAGGGAGCTCACCCCTGCCCCAGCCCTAAAGCAAGCTGCGGGCAAGGCAAGGGCCCCCAAGGGGACACTCGCCTGCCTGTACACCAATGCCAGGAGCCTGGGGAATAAACAGGAGGAATTTATCCTCCTGTTTAACACAAATAATTACAATGTCATAAGGATAATGGAGACTTGGTGGGACTCTACTCATGACTGGACCATGGGTATAAACAGCTATACCCCATACAGGAGAGATTGAGTAGAAAAAAAGGGACTGGGGTGTAGCTCTCTATGTCCAGAAGAGCTACGCGTCCCTGCTATCAGTCATTGGTGACCAGGGTGGATGGCTGGAGACCCTCTGGGTTAAAATACTTGGGGATCATGGCACAGGGGACATGATGATGGGAGTCTACTGCAGACCCCCCACCCAAAGTCAAGAGCTTGACCAGGAGTTCACCAGGGAATTGGCTGAAGCCACACGCTCCAGGACCATGGTTATCATGGGAGACTTCAACTACCCAGACATCTCATGGGAAGAGTGCTCAGCTAAATTTGAGTGGTCGCAAAGCTTTCTCTCATGCGTGGATGACCTCTATCTGACACAAGAAGTCTACGGGCCAACCAGAGGTAAAGCGCTGCTTGACCTGGCTACTGGGGACAACCTAATCAGTGACCTAATGATTGATGGCAAGCTGGGTGACAGCGACCATTAGCTAATCACCTTCACCATCCGCCATAAAGCTGGCAAGTCAGTCAGCAACACTGAGGTCCTTGACTTCAGGAAAGCTGACTTTGACAAGCTCAGGAGGCTTGTTGGTGAGGTTCTAAGGGACCATGACCCCAAGAGGAAGGGAGTCCAGGGAGAGTGGCTGCTCCTCAAGGGAGTGATCCTTGATGCACAAACTAATGCTATTCCATCTCGGAGGAAAGGAAGCAAGAGGGCACAGCAGCCCCCCTGGCTCTCCAGGGATCCTGAGGCTAAAAAGAAAGGCCTACAAAGGATGGAGGATGGGATCCACCTCCAAGGAGGATTATTCTGCACTGGTTCGGTCCTGCAGGGAGCAAACCAGGAAAGCCAAGGCTGCAACTGAACTCCAACTAGCTTCGAGTATTAAGAACCAGATGGGACAACTGACACCCAGGAAAAAGCCAACCTATTTAATAGGTACTTTGCATCAGTCTTTCAGCAGTCCCAAAGCACGCCCCTGCCCATTATGGGACAGAGAGGCCTGGATGAGGAAGGTTCCCTGCCCTCCATCAGTGCTGACCTCATGAAGCAACACCTTGAGAGGCTGGACACCTTCAAGTCAGCTGGTCCTGACAATCTACACCCCAGGGTACTCAAGGAGCTGGCGAACATCATAGCCCAGCCCCTGGCACAGATCTTTGAGAGCTCCTGATGCTCTGGTGAAGTGCCCAAAGACTGGAAGAAGGCCAATGTGGTGCTTATCTGCAAGAAAGGGAGGGAAGTGGATCTGGCAAACTACAGGCCCATCAGCCTGAACTCTATCCTGGGGAAGGTCTTGGAAAAGATTATTAAACAGGCCATTCTTAACAGACTGGCTGACGGCAACATCCTGATGGATAGCCAGCGTGGGTTTGTTGTAGGTCTTGCTTGACCAATCTTATTTCCTTTTACGACCAGGTGACCCATCACCTGGACAAGGGAGAAGAGATTGATGTCATATATCTTGACTTCAAAAAAGCCTTCAATCTGGTGTCCCATGATCGCCTCTTGGCAAAACTGGCCAACTGTGGCCTCAGGTCCACCATGATCCATTGGCTGGGGAATTGGCTCTGTGGTGGGACCCAGAGGGTGGTGGTTGATGGAAGTCAATTGTTGTGGTGTGCTGTGCCCAGGGGGGGTCCCCCAAGGCTCTGTCCTTGGACCCATATTGTTCAACATCTTCATTAGTGATGTGGACATTGGTATCAGAAGTGGACTGGCCAAGTTCGCCGATGATACCAAACTCTGGGGTAAAGCGTCCACACCTGACGAGAGGAGGGTGATCCAGGCTGACCTTGAAAGTCTCAGTAAATGGGTGGATGAGAACCCGATGGTGTTTAACACCAAAAAATGTTAAACACCTTGGAAGGAAAAACCTGCAGCATCCTTATAGGCTTGGCAGTGCTATGCTGGTTAGCACTACAGACGAAAGGGACCACAAGATGAACATGAGCCTTCAATGTGATGCTGCAGTTAGTAAAGTGAGCAAAACGCTGACTTGCATCCATAGATGCTTCTCATGCAAATCCTGGGACATTGTTCTCCCATTGTACTCTGCCTTGGTGAGGCTGCAGCTGGAGTACTGCATCCAGTTTTGGGCTCTTCAATTCAAAAAGGATGTGGAGAAGCTTGAGAGAGTCCAGAGAAGAGCCACACACATGATCAGAGGTCATGAAAGTAGACCTTACGACGACAGGCTGAGAGCCCTGGGGCTCTTTAGCCTGGAAAAGCGCAGGCTCGGGAGGACCTGGTGGCCACCTATGAGTTTATGAGGGGTGTTCACCAGGATCTGGGGGAACAGTTGTTCACCAGAGCGCCCCAAAGGATGACAAGGTCAAATGGTCACAAACTCCTGCAAGACCATTTCAGGCTGGACATAAGGAAGAATTTCTTCACTGTCCAAGCCCCCAAGGTCTGAAATAGCCTGCCACCAGAGGTGGTTCAAGCACCCACATTGAACACCTTAAAGAGAAATTTGGATGCTTATCTTGCTGAGATCCTATGACCCCAGCTGACTTCCTGCCCCTGGGGCAGGGGGCTGAACTCGATGATCTTGCGAGGTCCCTTCCAGCACTAATGTCTATGAAATCTATGAAAGCTGGATTAGAAAGTCATGGCTGGGACCCAGAAGCCAGGCCAGGCACAGTGGGCTTAGGCTAAGGGAACCAGAAACAGGAAAGGGGCTGAGGCTGGGAATGCCAAGACCCCGACACGGGGATAGAGGCCTGAGGTGGCTTTCTACTGGGTTGGGATGACGTGCTGTCCAAAGCCATTAATTGGTAAAACCTGTGGGCCACAGGCATGGCTCAAGGGGAGGTCAGAGGTCACGATTAACTCTTAAGGATACATGTGCCCTGGCAGAACTCGCTGGCATCTACAGGACCTGAGGCTCGCGGTAGGACCTATTAGGCAGCCTCCCGTCTAATCAAACCATGACATCAAGGCATGACAGATGAATACAGAGGAGGGCACCTGGGGCTGGAGCTGGGTAAGGGCTGTGTGACCACCAAGGGTGTCATAGTCCCCCCGGAGCTCTAACTTGGCTATACAGCTCCCTGTCTGCACAGGGGTGGGCAGGGGGGTCCTGACAACGCTGCCCTGGGAGCAGCACCAGAGGGACTACCTAGGACCACATCCCACCCCCCATCTCTACCCCTGTGTCTGCCTGAACCCCCAGCAGCCATCAAGGCTGAGACCTGCCCAGGACTGACCTGCAGAGCATGACCCACAGCAGCAGTGGCCCGGCAGCCAGCACCACCAGCACAGACATGGCCATGGCCATGGCCATATACCTTGGCATCAAGCCTGCTTGCCTGGACTCCAGCTTCCCTGCAACGCACAGACCCAGGCTCCTGTCACAGCCAGTTACAAGGCTGCTTTAGGCCCTGACGCATGTCCCTGGAGACAGAGGCAAATACCTGAGATCTCAGTTTCAAAAGTCCATTGTGATGCTTCCCCCAGGCCAGCAGCTGTGAGGCCCTGGACTGTCACTGTGTAGTTGGTCCCGGGTCTCCAGAAGGGCAGCCTGTACTCAGTGACCAACGAGTTCACACGCACCACCTGCTCCTCGAAGAACCGGCTGTCATTCTCTCTCTGGACCGTGATGTTTAGCTGCAGGGAACAGCACAGTGCTGGGAGGACTCAGGCCTGCCCTACCTTGGAGGGACCCTGGGTGGGTGCTTCCCAGCATCCTGGACCTATTTCCCCACACCACCCCTTGGGACCTCTCACAGCAGGGAAAGAAGGACCTTGCCCAGAGGCAGACCCAATTCTCCAGCAGGACCTTTCAGTGCACAGTGCCAAAAGCAGCCAGCAGATTGACAGGCCATGCTGGGCACTCAGGAGCGAGTCATAGAAGTCACAGTCATCAAGTCCTACAGGACTGGGGCTGGCAGGGACCCCCAGAGATCACATCCTGTCCATCCCCTGCCTGAGGCAGGATCAGCCCTGTCCAAACCAGCCCGGATACTTCTGCTGTCCAAAGACCGAGCAATACAGAACAGCATCCCTGACACAGCAGCAAGCATCGCACCTGGCCCTACCCCAGGGACAACTCAGTGGCTTCGGCTACCAGTATCCTGCTGCTGCAAAGGGTGTTAATACATGTTCCAGACACCCCAGGCAGTGTTGGTGTCCCTGCACCAGAGAAAGGCAACCTCTCCCAATGCCCCCCACCCCCGTCTCTACCAATCTGACTGCAGGAAAAATTCCTTCCAGACCCCCAATGCAGAATCAGTTTCTCCTTGAGGGGAAGGGAAAGACCTTCTAGTCAGAAACCTCCAGGCTTGGCCACAGCAGAAGCATTGGCAAGGCCCAGTCCCCATCCCAGCTTGGGCTGCAGCCAGCACCCAGTGTCTCTGGGGGAGTCTTACACAACCCCTGACACATGGAGCAGAAGGAGGTGGGGCAACCAGCAAAGGGTTGGGGCAACAAGTCCATGGGCCCTGGTACCTGGTACCCGAGGATGTCCCCATGGCAGGACGGCAGCTGTTTCCACCGCAGGGATCCGGTGCTGGGGTCCCTCGGCTCTGTCTGGGGCTGGCCTGGCACTAGAGCAAAGGAACGGCAGGTCACTGCCCAGGCCCTGGGGCCAGGCCCAGCACCCACAGCTCAGCACTTGGGGGGCAGCTGCAGGCTGAGGGCCTGTGGCTGGACCCTGGCTTTTCTCCAGGGAGGACCAGGAGCTGGGAGCTCATGCAGGTCCTTCCCGATAGCCATGGCAGTAGAAGAATTGCCCTGCCTCTGCCACTGGGAAAGGTGCAGGAACATGGGGTCAGGCACCCAGGTGTGGCATCGCCATGCTCAGCTGCTCTCCCCACCCCAGATCTGCATACAGCCCAAGGCTCCCACCTGTGGCTTGTGATTCACCCTCCACCCCTTACCTGTCTCATTTGTCCTGACCAGCCACGTGTAGAGGACAGTGCTGGGGAAAGCTACAGCACCCGAATAGCTTGCGGAGATGGTGACGTTGTAGAGGGTGAAGGGCTGCAGGGCGCTGCAGATAAGTGTCCCTGCCTGGCCTTCTAATATCTGCTTTCTGCTGCTTGCTTGTCTTGGACAGGGGTTGGCTTGGAGCTCGGCTGGCACCGGCAGGCACTGGGCCCCAATGCTCCAAGTGCCCTGGCAGGATTTGGAGGGCGTGCAAACCCAGCTGAGCCTGATGCTGGTGGGTGAAATCTCTGAGGCTCCAGGGATGATCTGGGGGTGGCCTGTGGAGTAAACACCATACCAGGGTTACTCCCTGCCCTCCAAATATCGCAGCGCTGCAAGGGGCTGCAGTCAGACCAGCCCTGATGTCTGTGCAGGGGGAAGGAGGGGAGAGGCCAGGCTCATTGATGGCAGCCCCTGGGGACAATCCCTAGGGGACAGAGGATGAGTGACCACTGCGCCCCTGCTGAGCCCAGGGGCAGCTCTGGTCAGAATACACTGAGTTTCTTTGCTGCTGGCCAGCTGTTTCCACAGCCAAGCACAGCTCATGTTTTTCTGTGTTGTCCTAATGGAGCAGCAGCCCATGACATGGCTGGAATCAGCAGCGAGGACACAGCGCATGGAGAGACCCCCCTGTCCCGCACACACGTGCTGGCTGCAGGCACCTGCAAGGGCCCCGCTGACAGCACCAGCCCCTGGACCTCTCCCTGCTGCATCTCCTGCCATGCCTGCTTGGTTTTGTTTTTCACAGAAAAGGGTCGCTGTGGCTGGATCCTGGATAGAAAAAGTGGAGCTGGAGAAAGGAATATGGGCCAGAGTGAGGAAAGGATGGGATAAACAGATCAGTTAGAGGAATCCAAATTCCCTGGATCTTGAATGCTGTTGTTTACCAGAGAGAGAAGAACAGGGGAAAAGCCCTGGTCAGACCCAGGTCACTGTCCCTTCCAGTCTCCGCTTCCTGCCGCCATGTGACACAGGAGATGGACAAGGTGGACCAGGGTCTGAGCTGTTCTTATGATGCACCAAGTCAGAAAAGCCTGATGAAATTCACCCCAGAGAACATGGAGGTGAACCATCTTACGGGCCCACTTGGGACAGACGACGTCCAGAGGCCTGGGGAAGGGCAAGCACGGGGCTTGGCTAGAAGCAGAGTTGCTTGCTCTTACCCTGGTCTGTGAATCTATTTCTCTGACTTTAGGAGCATCACACGATTCTTCTGTGGAAGACGAAGGGTTGGGTGACACAGCCCCATGCACTGGATTGTACCAACACGCAGGGTTGTTTTGCAGCTGGTCTGGCACACAGGGTCGAGCTGGTGCACAGGATGGGCCCATAGCAGGATGCAGCACACAGGGTCCAGCTGGTATATGGGGTTGCTACATGGCTGGATCTGGTGTGTGGAGCTTCTCCCACAGACCGACCCCATGCACCGAGCCTGAGCTGGATCAGGCTCAGAGGAAACGGCCAGCTCCAGCTGCCACAATCCCACCCAGTGGGGCCTTATCTGCCTGGCTCCCTCAGCAGCCAGCCTTGGACGTGGGCCTGACCAGGATGGCCGAGGAGATTTGGAGACTCCACAGCCTGGGCTAGCTCTCTTCCTGCAGCAAAAGCTGAGTGTGGCAGTGCAAGGGGCAGCTCTGCCCTCACCCACCTGCACAGGTCACGTTCTTTTCAACCTGGCGCCATGTGCTCTCACCATCCTGCACTGCCCAGACATCCTGCTTGTCCCGATATTGCCTTGCACAGCGTATCACAGGGAGTGACGGTGGGGATCCATCAAGGCAGCTCAGCCTCACCTCCTCATTCTTGCCATAAAACAGCTGGTCTGGTGAAAACTGGAGGCTCGGGTCCCATATAGGCCTGTGGCATTTCTCTGCAGAGACACAAGGCTCTGGGTGTTGGTGAGGAATGTGCTGTGGTGTGGTTGGGAGGGGCCTGGGGTGGTGCAATGATTGCCAAGGAGCGCCAAGTGCTCTTGAGCTGGGGCAGCGATACTGGGAGTGGGGCACTGCACGGGGACAGGTCCTGCATGGATCCCCACCCCATCCAGCCAAAGGGACAGGGGTGCCAGGGCTCCCCAGCCTCACAGCAGGCTGGTAGCACTCAGTGACGCAGAGAAGCACTAGGGACCCTGAACTGCTGGAGAAGCCTGGGCTTGGATGTGGCACTGTGCCAGAGGGATGCAGGGTGCAGGATTTGGCTACGGGGCTGCAATGGAAATGCTCCTTCCCACTGTCCTCAACAGCCACCTTGGCCAGGCTGGGGATGTCTCCCGGGCTAGATGAACTCCACACAGGGGGCTGTAACCCCAGTGACGTGGACCAGAGCACGAATCTCTGCTCCACCACAACACACGTCTCTCTCTGAGGGTCACTGGCCTCCCCCTGCTCACAGCTCCGGCCCTGGGCTCACATCCCCCTCCAGCCCCATCGACACCCGTCTCTGTGCACAGCACTCACCAGAGCACCACATGTTGCTCACGTCCCACTCAGGAAGCAAGGCTTTGTGTGTCACACACGTTATCCAGCTGAAGTCCCCCTCAAACCGATCTGAGGGACAGATCACTAGGAGTCTGTCACCGACTGCAAACTTATGCCGGTAGTCATCTCTAAACACGAATTGGACCAAGTTCTCACTAATTGTACAAAACCCTGGAGGGAAACAAAGTTCCTGTCTCAGCAGCACAACTCCCTAGTGATGCGTCACACCCCTGCTAGGGCTGTGCCAGCTGCACAGCTCAGAGCCAACCCCTCTCCCTTCAGCTGAGAGGATGTCCAACCCCTGCTTGGACTGTGCCCCTCATCCACAGCCATCTCTTCTCCCCTCTCAGCCCACGCCCCCTCCCCCCCGATGCCCCACAACATTAGGGCACCCACCAGGCCCATTGGGTGCCCCCCAGCACACACATTGCTATGGCAACTGAGTACCTTCACAAGTGTCATGACATGGGCCCCGCCTTTGCAGCCCTCCAGTCTGCCCACACAATGGTGCAGCAGCTCCTCGTGACAACAACCCTCAGCCCCAGGACCCGCCACTCCACTGCCCTTCCTGCTCCATGAGCTGCTTCCCTGCCCTCTCCCCACAAAGCAGCCCCTCTTTGCTGGTGAGGGGCAGCAGCAGCCATCACCAGGGTTGAATATGGCCCGTCCCTCCCTCCTCAGCAATACCAACACCCATGAGCCCCTTGCTGTGAGGCTCCTGCCCCAGGCTCCTCTGTCCTTGCTCTGCCACTCCCAGGATGCCCTGTGCCCTACTCCATGGGCACCCCCAGCCCCTCTGCAAACTCCTGACCCAGACACTCGACTGCCCTTGGCTCCGGTGTTACCCAGTGGAGGAAGCCTGGCTGCAGGGCACGGACCAGGGCATCTCTGCACCACAGCACAGGCTGAGATTTCAGTGCAGAAGCTCAGGGGAGAAAGGCGGGTGGGAGAGAAGCCCAGGTGCTGCAGGTACAGAAGGGGCCACAACACAGGACACCAGACCCCTGGAAGCCCCATGACTCGATAGGTCTTAAACTCACCAATACAGTGGACGTTTTCTGGGATCCAGTCGCCCCATATGCATCTGCTCTTGACCGCTGAGGGCCGATAGCCCTTGGAGCAGTTCCATGTCACCACATCTCCTGAGCTGTATTGCTGCTGATACGGTGTGAACTTAGCCTTGGAGTCCCAGAAGTGTGGCGTATTGCATGTCCCTGCAATGGCAATATGGGGAAGGTGTCACTGGGAAATGGCCCCAACTGGACCCCATGTGCTTTTCCCATCAGCCACTATGGAGCCAAGGCAGCTGCAACAGACTGCCCGGTCTCACACAAACATCCTTTGGCTGCTGCGTGACAAGGGCCTTTGTCACCTGTCCTGAGATTCAGTGCCTCATGAGTGTATGCCCTTCTCAATGTACGCCGCCCACCCTCTCAGGGACGTGTGTGCTACTGGCCCTATGGACACAGCCTTTGTGTGCCCCTTTCCAGGCTGAGAGTGCCTGGGATGCTGGACGGAGAACTGTCCCCAGGACAGGGGCTGAGGGCCCTCCTGAAACACGGGGGCGAAACTCCACCCTGGCCCCGAGGCAGCACGGTGCCAGCGAGTGCCCAGCTGCCCGGCCAGGCCCTGCGGCCACGGTGCTTGGGGGGCCACACTTACTCTGGCAGGTGGCCTCCTCGCTCCACACACTGTGGTTCCCTTTCCAGAGGCATTGGATCTTAGATGGTTTGGGCACGTACTGCCACGGGCAGCTCAGGGTCACCAGGTCCCCTCTGTCATAGTACGGCTTGTCTGGATTAAAGCTCAGAAGTGAGTATGTGATGGGTCGCATGCACTTTCCTGTCAAGAGAAAACCCAGTTTTGGAGCATTGGTGAAGGATGACCTGCAGGCCCCTAGGCCAGGCCCTGAACACGGAGATGCAGAGGGGTGAGCACTGCTCTCCAACCACACAAGTGTGCAGCAGCATGTATACATCCCACCAGGCACACACTAGTGCACACTGTGCCCAGCCTAGAGTAACCAGCAGATATCCCTGAGCTCCACAGGAAAGAAAGACGTGGAGGGGAAACATGTGAGAGGCACGGATGGCAACAGGACACATTTCCTGAAGTCCATGAGAAGCGGAAGACCTGCCTCTACCCTCAGCAGCACCAAGACCCATGGGCCTCTCATGGGGAGGCCCCTGCCATGTCTGCTCTCCCCTTGCTCTGCCATTCCCAGGCTGCCCTGTGCCTTCCTCCACTCGCAGCCCAGCTCCTCTGCCAGACAACAGACTGTCCTTGGACCCAGCGTTACCCAGTGCAGGGATCCTTGGCCTTGGCTGTGGGACACAGACCAGGGCATGCCCTAACCATGGCAGAGGCTGAGATGTTGGCACAGAAGCCAGGAGTTGTGCAGGGAGAAAGGTGGGTAGAAGGGAAGCCCAAAGTGACTCGAGGTCTCAAACTCACTGACACACTGGACACTCCGCGGATTCCAGTTTCCCCACTGCGTGCATCTGCTACTGACCACTGAGGGCCAATAGCCCGGAGAGCAGCTCCATGTCACCACATCTCCTGGGTTGTAGGATAGCCGTTTTGGCCAGAACTCAGCCCGGGCATCCCTGGGGTCTGGCACTTGGCAGTTTCCTGCAGAAGGAACATGGGGACGGTGTCACTGGGAAATGCTCCAGCACCAGCTGGAGCCCACGTACCATTTCCATCAGCAGCTATGCAGCCGAGACAGCTGGAACCCACTGCCTGGTCTCACGCAGACATCCTGCCTTTGGCTGGTGCATTTCAAGGGCCTTTGTTACCTCGTCTGCGATTCAGGGATTCCCCTGTCCAGGCAGTCAAGAGCCATGGGGACTTTCAGGCTAGCTGTGACCAACCTATCCAGCCTCCTGGCCACAGAGAACCACAACCAATAAAGCTGCTGCCCCTACCCTGTGCATCTGTGCGCTGAGCTCCAGGACCAGCAGTGACCCAGGCTGAGCCTCCTAGAGAGACGCTTATGCTCTGGCATAGAAAACTTCTGGAGCAAATTTGCAGATGACGCAACACTGGGAAGGATTGTGAACATGGTGGAGGATGCAAGCACAACTCAGAAAGTATCTTGACAGACTGGAAAGCTGGGCTGGAGCCAACAGTTCAATACAGACAAGGTCAAGGTGCTGCACTTGGGAGGAATAATTAAAAACACCAATACAAAACAGAGGACACCTGGGTGGATGACATCTCTATATGGAAAAGCACTTGAGAGTCTTGGCAGATCACAGACTAAATAGGAGTCTACAGCATGATGCAGCTGTACAAAAGGCCAGTGTGACATTGGGCTTCATCCATAAAAACATTAGGTGCAGGGCACGGGAGGTGATAGTGCCTCTTTGCTCAGCACTGGTGAGGCCTCATCTGGATACTGGGTGTGGCTTTGTGCTCCACATTTAAAAAAGGATGTGGAGAAGCCAGAGAGGGTCCAGAGGTAGCAACAAAGATGTTCAAGGGCTTGGAAGGCAAGTCATAGGAGGAGAGGCTGAAGGAGCTGGGCATGTTCAGATCATGGAAAAGGCACTTAAGAGGAGACATGACAGCAGCCTTCAAATACTGGAAGGACTGCCATAAAGAAGAGGGAAAGCACCAGTTCCTCTCTTGCTGCAGAAAGCAGGACGTGGAGCAATGGCTTGAAGTTGTAGGAAAGTAAATTTAGATTGGAGATCCAGAAAAAGTTCTTCACTGTGAGAAGAGTGAGGGAGTGGAAAAGGTCCTTGGGGATGATGTGGACTCCGCATCACCAGAGGTGTTCAAGGGGAGGTTGGACAGACCCTGGGCAGGGAGGATCAGACCTGTCCTCCACAATGGAGAGCTGTCAGGCTTCTGTGCTTTGCCGCACGCCCCCCCCTGCTTTCTGCTCCACTGCTCTGGGACTCTGATATTGCAGGTCCTTTGTCAATGTGGAGCCCAGAACTGCACACAATGCTGGAGCTGAGGCCGAACCAGTGCGAGCAGAGAAGTGTGGTCAGCTCCAGTGCCCTGCACCTAATGCTTCTAGTTGTGCATCCCAAAACTTCATTCACTCTTTGTGCAGGTGGGTCACTGGTGGAAGCTGCCTTTATTCTTCCCAGTCACATATCAGACCCCCTTGGTTAGGTCCAGCTGTTGCCCTGCATATTTTAACCAGATGCCTGTGGTTCCCAGGCCTGGGGCATCTTGCCCATATGTCAGGGCTCCTTATAGCGTGGCTGTGGCCACATTTAAATCCACTTTTAATTCCTCACCTATCCTCTGTCTGTCTTGGCAGCAAGGCACTGCCCAGTCGTTGGCTTCACTGCAGGATGTTTATTAAAAGCAGGGGTGGATTAATGCACATGCCCACTGGGCCCAGGCTCAGGGGCCCCTGCTAATCAGGGGTCCCAGTCCCCTTGGGTGCCAGGAGCAACGCAGCCCAGGCAGGCATCCTGGCCACAGCCATCCTGGGCAGGCAGCATGAGCCTCCTCCCCTCTGTCCAGGCCAGGGCCAGATGCTAGGTGGTGGGCGTGGGTCTCCATGTGGGTGGTGGCAGCTTCCCGGGGCCTTCTATTGCCAGGACGTCCCATGGGCAGCCCCACAACTACTCCCACTCCCACTCCCTGTCATCTACAGGAAACTGCCAGCGCCAGCACCACTGGGACAGGACAGGACAGGACAGGACAGCTCCCCCAGCCCCAGCAGAGGGGTGGGTGGGAAGCCTAAGGCAGTGCCCCCCACCCCCACACCAGCTCCAACCTTGGCCTCTGGCCCCGGCCTGTTTTGCAGCGCTGGGGGACTGCAGCCCTGGCTGCACAACATCCACTGGATGGAGGGGCCAGGCCAGTTTGGGGATGGGGCCACCTTCACTTCAGCAATACTCGCAGCCCCGGTTCACCCCAGATGTGCTGAGGAGGCTAGCTGGGTCCAGCTGCAGGCTCCTGCCAGGCATGGACAAAACCTGCCTTTGCCCAGTTTGCCCAGGGCCCCAGTAAATCTTCATCTGCCACTGATTAAAAGTGGCTGTACACCCTGTGCAGTCTGGGATCACTCAGCCCTTGCAGCTGTTTCACCACCATTTCCTCTTCTCAGCAAAGGTGCACAGCATATTCAAGACTAAACTTATGTTCCTGCATCAACTTGGATGAACTGAGCCTGATACCTCCCCACCATGCTCAAGGCAGGCTTCCAAGTCACACACTTCCCCAAATCTATGCACCTGGGCTGCAAGGTACAACCCAGTCTCACACTGGTCTGCTTGTCTCCTTCTACCTGAGTGTGGGTGGAAAGTCCACACCTCTCACATGGAGCAGCACCTGCAGTTTTTTTTCAGCCTTTATCTGTGTGCTCTCGAACCAAGAGGCATCAGACCCATCTCCAGCTACACAGAGAGGTAACACTGCTTGCAGCTGTTCATCTCCTTGGATCCACAACCAAGAAAGCAGAATGGCCTGACCACCCAGCAGCAGAGAGGTAGGGCCAGGAGTACCCTGCCCACCTCCCAAGAGAGCCGGGCCACTGGGCAGCTGAGAAGGCAAGAGCCATGGGCTGGAAGGACAGCAGGCAGGAGATGGGCAGATGGCAACCCAGCGAGGGCCTCTCAGCTGAGAAGCATCTGAGCCCTGGGCTCTGCCTCCCAGTCTCAGGCACAAGCCAGGCCAAGAGCAAGTGACAGAGGCCAGACCCCAGGGACTCCACTGTGAGGTCTCTTCCACCCTATCTCATCTCCCCTTGCTCTGACACTCCCAAGCTGCCCTATGCCTTCCTTCATGGATGCACCCCAGCCCCTCTGCCAGACCCTGAGCCCAGACACCTGGCTGTCCTTGGCCCTGGCATTACCCAGTGGAGGGAGACTCAGCCCTGGCTGCAGGGCACAGACTAGGGCATCCCCATACCACAGCAGAGGCAGATGTCAGCTCAGAAACCCAGGGACTGTGCAGGGAAAAAGATGGGTGGGAGGAAGCCCAGGTGCTGCAAGTACAGCAGAGGCCATGACACAGGACACGAGACCCCAAGGAGCCATGTGACTCGAGCGGTTTCAAACTTACTGACACAATGGACACTCCACAGACTCCAGTTGCCCGACTGCGTGCATGTGCTCTTGACCTCAGATGGCCGATAGCCCTCAGGGCAGCTCCATGTCACTGCATCACCTGGGCTGTACGACGGCTGTTTTGGTGTGAACTCAGCCTGGCGGTCCCTGGGGTCTGGTGGTTGGCACCTTCCTGCAATAGGAACATGGGGACAATGTCACTGGGAAATGGCTCCAGCACTGGCTGGACCCCGCATGCTGTTCCCGTCAGCCACTACTGAGACAAAATGGCTGTGACAAGGACCTTTGTCACCCCTCCTGCAATTCAGTGCCTCATGCTTGCAATTCCCTGGGAGTACTCTGTGCCCTTCTCAATGTATGCATCCCCACCATCCCAGAGACGTGCGTGCTGCTGCCCCTACGGACAAAGGCTGCACCTTTCCCTTTTCCAAGCTAAGAGTCCCTGGGATTCTGGATGGAGAACCATCCCCAGGAGAGGGGCTAGGAGCCGTCCCAAAACACGGGGCGAGAATCCATCCTGGCCCCGAGGCAGCACGGTGTCAGTGAGTGCCCAGCTGCCCGACCGAGCCCTGTGACCACGGTGTTTGGGGGGCCCACACTTACTCTGGCAGGTGGCTGCCTCACTCCAGACACTGTGGCTCCCATTCTGGAGGCATTGGATCTTGGGCTGTGAGGGCTCGTACCCCTCTGGGCAGCTCAGGGTCACCAGCTCCTCCATGGCATAGTATTCCTTGTCTGGGGCAAAGCGCAGCTTTGAGTCTCCTGTGGGTTTCTGGCACTTTTCTATCAGGAGAAAAAACAGTTTTGAAGCATTGAATCATAGAATCACAGAAAGTTAGGGTTGGAAGGGACCTCAGGAGGTTACATCTAGTCTAACCCCCTGCTCAACAGAAAAACAGCCCCAACTAGATCAACCCAGCCAAGGCTTTGTCGAGCCAGGTCTTAAAGACCTCCAAAGATGGAGATCCCACCACCTCTCTGGGGAGCCTGTTCCAGTGCTTCACCACCCTCCTCATGAGAAAGTTTTTTCTAATATCCAACCTAAAACTCCCTTGATGCAACTTGAGCCCATTGCTCCTTGTTCTGTCACCTGCCCCCACTGAGACCAGTCCAGCTCCATCCTCTTTGCAACCCCGCTGCAGGGAGTTGAAAGCTGCTATTCAATCCCCCTCAGTCTCTTCTTTACTAGACTCAATAAGCCCAGTTCCCTCAGTCTTTCCTCATAAGATATGTCCATGAGGCCCCTCATCATTTTTGTCAGCCTTCACTGGACTCTCTCTGATTTCTCTACAGATTTCAGTAGTGGGGGCCCCCAAAACTGAACTGTACAAGTCCATGGGGCCAAATCGGATGCACCTGAGGGTGCTGAGGGAGTTGGCTGATGAGACTGCAGAGCCATTGGCCATCATCTTTAAAAAATGCATGGCAATCAGGAGATGTCCTGGATGACTGGAAAAGGGCAAACATAGTACCCACATTTAAGAAGGGGAAAAAGAAGGATCCAGGGAACTACAGACCCATCAGCCTCACCTCAGTCCCTGGAAAAATCATGGAGAAAATCCTTAAAGAGTCTATTTATAAGCACTTGGAGGAGAAGAAGGTGACCAGGAACAGTCAGCATGGATTCACTGGGGGCAAGTCATACCTGATCAACATTTTCACAATGTGGTCCCTGTGGCGGGCCAGTAGGGGGCGCTCCTGTGCTGAGCCGCCCACCTCCCTGCTCCCGACCACCTTCCAGGCTCCGAGTGCCTCCCTGGGGTGCCTCCCGTCCGGCCGACCCCTTCCCTGGAGCACACCCGCTAGCCTGGGGTTCCCGCTGCCACCATCCAAGGCTCTGGACTCACTTCTGGCTCTGCGCACCTTGGAAAAACACAGGCCTGATCGTCCAATGGGTACTAGACCCAGTACAAGCACTTGGGGCACTTCCCCAAGTCAGGGCTTATTAGGAAGCCTCCCTTAGTCCACCGACCTAAGGGGCCTCCTTGGCATAATTTAGACCCACCCCTCAATAAGTCTCCACACCGGTCACAAAGGAGAACTTTATTGATTACAGGGGTAGGGCAGAAACAGGGTAAAAGGTAGAG